GGTAATGAACGATAATACTTAGGACAAGAACAACACATAAGATTCATCAGCGGCGCGTAATAGTAGTCAAATGTTAGAAGTGAGTCAAGGGAATTCCACAATGAATCTCCAACTGCAGTATATCTACCATCCGCCCCACGCGGTCAGATGTGGCACAAGGCCGAATTTAATGTGGGGTATCCGAGCCCGTAGGCTGGGCCAAAAATTCCCCGTAGACCCCGTATAAAACTGGGTCGGGTAGCTGTTTCCCAAGACGAGACTCTTTCCTTTGGCATAGCCTCATCTGGAGATCCTCTCTGTCCGGAGACGAATCTCCAATTGCAGACCAACATACAGTATTTACTACTGTATTTATATGAATGGAGAAATACCCATTATCGTCCGTAGATATGCTACAACAACGGAATGTAGATTTTATCGCAGTTACAATATGTTTGTCTTTGTAATTTAGTCCTGAAGAAGATCTTAGAAAAGGCGGAAAGTACTTGCGTAAAAAAAAAAATAAAAAATAAAAAAAACCTAGGCACCTTTCTTGTTGAATTTCATCTTAACACCAATAAACTGATTGGACAAAAAATAAGTAGGCACAATATGTCTATATTATTCAATGAAATTTGTTGATACTCTCTGAAGTGTGGACGGACAGATCCCACTACGAAACTGGAGTCGGGATTCTGAAGGTAACATCAATCAGCTAAGTGGCCAACTCTTACTAGTTCATCAGTAAAACGGCGTGGTCTAGTTACCAATCTAGTAACTCGTTTAAATTCGTGTAATCGGGGCAACAAGGAGGAAAGCTCATTAGAACAATTGTCATGAAAATATTTGTAGAGAAGTTAGATGGAAGCCACGTCACGTCGGTGAGAAAGGGACTGAAGTCGAGCTGCCAAGTCGGGATCGATTACAATACAGACACGTCTTTGAACTTTTTCAAGAATATATATATATAGATATATAGTCAGAACACCATACCAGAGTTGGTAGTAATATTCAATGCACGGACGAATGGTAGATTTATAAATATACAAGATGGATTCTGACGAGAAAAATTATTTGGCACGACATAGGGAACCAACTTTCCTCACAGTAAATCTAGCAACTGATGCAATAGAATCACTCCACTTCATGTAAGTGTAAAACGTGAGCCTAAGAAAGCACAAAGAGTCGCTCTTCTGGAGGTTAGCATCAGCCATGCTGATGGTAGTCAGAAAACGGGATTAAATGAAAGCAGTTTTGTTTTGGGGGCATTAAAATTTACAAGTCATTCCTTGCCCCAGTTAACTACTGATTGGAGGTCCTTTTCGAGAGTAGTTGTTAGTTTTACATTGTTGGACCTGTCAGACTTGCTATTAAAATAGGATTTTAGTATTATAATATTATTTCGATCTGTCATCATAATTTAATTATTTATAACTATGTGTATTTAATTCTGGTGTCACCAGAGGATATGTATTAAACAGGAATATTTAAGTGTTGCGCGAAATATGGAATCGGTGATCTGAGTTCAAATCCCGGCTTAGTTTGTTGCGTTTACTTCACTCTATGGTATTGGAAAATGCATAATTCACCTCTTCTTCTCTCGGCGATGGATTAAATACTATCTAAACTGGGCTCTATCACCTTGGAGGATCAATTTAGGAAAGGGGTACTTTGAATTAAAAAATATGGAGACGGAAAAAACGGAATTCCGCTTTACTATATTTCGCAAGAAGTCATTGCAATTCAATTCACAGATAAGAAAGAAAATCTATCCGTGAAGAGACGTGTCCGTCTTTGTCCTGAAAGAATTTTGTATTAAAAATAAATAAATAAATAAGTAAATAAATAAACAGGATATAAGGAAATAGCGAGAAATAGCTTAAGTTTGACCGCAGCAAGATTTTATTTGTTTGTAATCAGAATTTTCTTCATTGTTAGTTTATGAATAATCAAAAGTACTTAACACTAAATTGTTTAGCCTTTATTGAAAAATATAACCATTAGAGATAAGAGCTTTTGGTAAACACTTCATAACGAATGTCTTGAATCTGAAAAAGAATGAAAGCTTGTTTAGAGTTTTTCTTAATTCAATGTTTTAAAAATTCGACATAATCGGACGTATGTCGTCATTATTATTATTATTATTTTCTTTAGCATAAGGTGTGAACGTTTTTAAATATTACTTTTTATAAAAACAGACAGATCTGTCACCCGTTGAATCACTATTCGAGAGAAAATCATAATGGATTATAATTTTTATTAAGCAACCAATGTTGATAAAAATCCCCACATATATTTACACGCACCGGCCACTTTAGTAGGTACCCTTCTCTAGTACCAGGTTTCTGGGAGACAGCGCATAATATGACAGAAACAGCAGTTTGAACTCAAAACCCCGACCACGATGACTTTTGACTTCGAGTAACCACAACCATCGACGACTTCCAAAGCCGTTATGTCTCCCCAATTTCACTCACAACGCTTGGGTTAACCCGAGGCATGATTTTCAGACACTTTCCGAAGGTGCCCCGCACGATGTGATCGCACCCACAGACTGATAACATCAGAAAGTCACCTTCCTAACAAATCGACCATTATATATTACTCTGTTCTGGACATTGAGTTCTACCTGGATTCTATCCTCTTCGAAATTTATATATATATATATATATATATATATATATATATATATACCCAAGTATATGATTGGTGTATACGGAATAAATTCCATTAACCAACAATTACTATTCTTAAAAGAGTGCTCAATACAGAGTAGAGCAAATATAATTACTTATTTAAAAATTATAACATAAATATGTTATAAAATCACTACAAAAATAGCCATTTTGTTTCAACACCTCTTGTGTCTTATCAAGAGATGATGTAAATAATTATATATATATATGTGTGTGTCTGTATATTAACTACTAATATTATATATATATATATATATATATATATAGGGAGAGAGAGAGAAATAGATACAAAGTGATATTGAACTATTAATTACAACGCAAATTTCATTTTTTTAATAGTCTTTTGTCATAACCACCACTATTTTATAATTGACTTCGTAAAATCTTTTGTACGAAAAGAATTCTTTTTAATGTGGTTAAGCATAACTTTAATCTTCAAGGATCGACACAATGGACTTTTCTTATTTATGTCATTTTTTTTTCTTGAACATTATTCTGAAAACGAGAGTAAGGCGAGAGATTTTAGTCTGCCTTTCATAGTGCGTCCATTGCTGTAAGATACAATCAGTAAATAAGCCGACATTTTTTAAACGGTTTCACCCCATGCAAGGCAGTAAAGCCACAAGGTATTACAGGGTGCGGAAGAATTAGGAACAGAAACAATAATGATTAGCAGAAAGAGAAGATAGTAATCAGGAGGACAGTAGATAGCGATTGACATTGCATTTAAATTTTTGCAGATTAAAGTTGGCTGGAGTTGGAAGGGAGTTCCACAAGAGAGAAATGCGAGAGAAGAAACTGTTAGTATAGAATTTAAGGCTACATCTTGCCAGTTCAACTGTAAATTGATGAGATCTCGACGTCAGTTTAGTACAGCGCTTAAATTCATAAAGTCTAGGTATCACGGCGAAGAGCGATATTTATTCTGCTATGTACAGAAATGTGGCACAAGGCCAAAATGGGGAATGGAGAAAAGGACGGTCTTCTTCTCTCTTAAATTTAAACTTAGCTAGCCACAAACACTGGCCCAAACATACAACAATATTCCTTACACCCAAACAACGCATTCTTACTTACCTTTCTTGCTACATCTAACATCCATCATAGCGAAGAGCGATATTTATTCTGTACAATACAGAAATGTGGCACAAGGCCGTAGGTGGGATTGGGGAAGGGACGGTCTTGTTCTGTCTTAACTATAACGTATCTAGCCGCAAACACTGACCCAATCGTACGAACAATATTCCTTACACCAAAACAACACATTCATGCGTACCTTTCTTACTACACCCACCATAATACCTCATTGTCTCTATGAAAATACTAACTAGTCTCCATATTTACAATTCATTGTCTGTGAGGGGAGGGGAATAAAACAACAATTCTAAAAAACTAGCCCCAATGAGTATTTACATTATAGTGAAGAGTTCATTCGAACGATTACCATGAAAGTATTTATAGAAAAGACACTGGGAGGTAACCTTACGACGGTAAGAAAGTGAGTGAAGCCGAGCCGCCAGATCACGGCCAATAATATTGATGATTCTAATTAATCGAACAGGCTCAATCTCAAATCAATCATCTTTTTTTTTTTTAAATCGACATGACCCATGTAAGGTAGTAAAGCCACTAAGACAAAGGAGTTACAAGGTACGAAAGAATTAGGAACAGAAACAATAATAAGCAGAAAGAGAAAATCGTAATCAGAGGGACAGTAGATAGCGATTGATATTGCATTTAAATTTTTGCAGATTAAAGTATGGCTGGAAAGCATGTAGCCAGAAGAGAGTTCCACAAAATTATTAATTAGTATCATAATTTAAAATGACTTATAATAACTAGTTAATTTGATTGACTTATATAGTATATAGATGTGAAAGAGAGGGAGAGAGAATGTTGTGAAAATGACACGTTTATTTGAGCTGCAAAAAATAAATAAAACAGAGGCAGTGAACGATGAACCGATCGGTGGGAAAAGAATGTCTATCCAGGCTTTTGGTTATGAGAATAAAACACAGAACATTTTACTATTTGAGAAGAGGAATCCAAAATTGAAGAGTGAAGTATGTGGAATGGTCATCTGTGAAAAGTGTTGATTCTTTGACCATCTGTGCTGATACTGATACGATTGGCTTGGATAAGAGCCTAGTAATATCTACGTCAGAATGGAGGTTTAATCATATCCTCTTTTCATTTTTAAGACGAGTGTTTTTCTCATCGAGATTTTCATCGTAGTGTGTGAGAGGTTTTACGTTGAGGACTGTCTAATGAGCAATAAGAGGCGGTAAACACCTGCGAATGATCACCTGGTTTTGAATGGCAACATTATTTCAAGGAAGGGGATGATAAGAATTTAAGACAGAAAGAGAGGAGGAGGAGGAAAGGAATGATAAACAGAAAAAGCAATTGGGAGACAAGAATATTGAAAAGAGAGAGGGTTATGGATGGAATCAAAAGAGGTAAGAAGAGAGATGAGAGAAGATAGATATGAAGAAAATTAATCGGAGGACTTGTGATATTAGATTAGGTAAGAAGTGTAAACTACTTCGGTGCTTATATTTAAGCTTCTTCGGGGACTGACGCTTATTTAAAATCTATGCATGGAATCATCTTTTTTCTTGGATATTAGAACGAAAGACTAACTTCTGTTCTGTTCTCTGATCTGCTGCCGAGTTAAGTACTCTGCTAATGATATTTTTTTACTCATTTTCATCCAATACAAAGGCAGAGAGCCGCTCAAAGTAGAGCTTTCCCCAAATTTATTCACAAGGCTTAAGCATCGAAAGAAATTAAATAGGAAAGCTATCCTCTACTAAAGTATGCTAACTATTGCTTTTTTTAAAATTCTTGTTTATTTGATTTGAGTTTAAGGTCATTAAAAGTAAATTTTGCAATTTTGTGATATACAGAGGTGCTGAAAAATTCTTGGCTCGACCTACTTCCTAAAATCGGATCAAATGTCCAAACATCAGAATTTTTTCTTAAATACTTTTTTGTTTTACTAAATATTACGCAATACGAGGCTCGAAAGCCACTCAAGTTAGAGTGCTACAGTCGAAACGGTAATAATGAATGAGGTGTGTGATATCAATGGAAGAGAAAGTGGTAGAAAGTGCAGATTATGAGGATAAGGAGGATAGATAACTGTTGACTTGACTTGAGGAGGTCAAGTGGTTAAAGAAGCATCCATGCAGGAGCCTGTCCCACAAAGTGTCAAGAAAAACCTAAGTAGAACTTTCCCATTCACATCAGCCTTCAACTGTTCTTGTGGAGCAAGAGACCCTTCTCAAGAACATACCAGATTTAAAGGGGGATTTAATCAGGAGAGTTCCACATGTAGCAATTCATGGCTCACCTGTCTTGGTGCAAAATATACAGCAACCACCTTGATCCAGAGCTTGACTAACTCCTTCAACATTTTGATGTAGGTGGGAAGTCGGGTGGCATTATATGAACTTCATTTTTCACAGCTTGCAGGAGAATCACAGACTATGGGAATTTTGGTTTGGTTTGGTTTGTTTTACAGCATATCAACCTTAATGCTGACAAAATTTTTATTGCTGGTAATATATTTTTCTTCAAAAATCTATTTCTGGGAATATTTATCCTTGAAGAAATCTATAGCTGGTCATATTTTTTTCAAAAAAATATATAGCTGTTTGTATTGCTGGCATTCTTTTTTTTTAAAGTATTGCTGATAATAATTTCTCTTTCAAAAATTATTGCTGGTAATAATTTTTTTTATTACAAAGTATTTCTGATATTAAAACCTATTTTTACACAAGTTTGGGTGTTAACTATTGCCCATAGCTGGGACCCTAACAGATGCTACCACCCTGGGTCAGGGTAGACATGAGAACACCAGCAATTAAGAGGTGGTTCCATGCTCCTCAAAACTTCCCGATCAGAGGCCTTGCTGTTGGACGTAGTTTATCGTCTTACCCAGGATACTGATGTAGTTTATCATCATAACCCAGGATGACTATGGGAATTTGGTGTATATCACAGAAGAGATCTTCATAGTGTCACTTGGCATACCTCCTGGGCATTTTCAAAAAACTTGCTATCTCCAAGTTGTTATTGGTGGCCAGTGCCATGGTGTGCCTTTTCCTTTCTTGCATCAGGCTGGAATCTGCCATGTGTGTGAAAGTGAAATATGTTTAAATTTAGAACGTGCAACATCACATTACATTACATTAGGTCGTCTTCTATTTATGACCTGTTAAAGATGCATTCTCAGCTAGTGCACCTTTAGATAATTTTGTGCGTCCCAGAATCAAATGCATTTGTCAAAGATGTTATTAATTTGTTAAACTAAATATTGTATAAGAGAAGAGAAATAGAAATGAAAAAAAATAAACTAAAAGCCAAAAATCAAACAAAAATGACATTGTTTATGAAAGAAAATATTTTATATATTAAAACAAAGACAAATAACTCGCTTGAAGTGAATTTAGTTGACATGTTAAAATAAACATTTCATATTTCAAAAAAGAAAAATTTGGTATGTGGCAAGATAAGCAAATCTCAAATCTAAATTGTCTATCCATTTTTTTTTTAATTATTTCACCTCCAAAAAAGGCAATAAAGCCACTAAGGCACATGGGGTTACTGAATGAGAAAGCATACGAGAAAAAGAAAAAGAATAAAAAACAGAAATTAAGAAGAAAAAAAGATAATGTTTGACATTGCATTTAAACTTTTGAAGATCAAGTGGCCAGAAGAGAGAAGTGCAAGCGATTCAGTTTAAATACAAAAGTCATAAAAAATGATTTCAAAAGGCCAGCTTATACTCTTTCCTAGTTATCCATTGATTGTTGCCAGACAGAAAAGGAACACAGATCTCCATTTCAATTTCATTCAAATTCTGTGTACATGTATGTTTGCATATGCACATATATATATTTTAATTCCATGAGAGACCTAAAAATATTTCAACAAATTTTTATTTTAAAAATAATTTTATTTATAACTGAATAATTTCCTAAATTTCAATAAAACATTACAAGTATGATTTTTAGAGTTTAAAAACTTCATGATTTTATTGTTCAGCTCTGAGTTATGGGTCATACAAACTGAGCGGAAAGGGAATGTATTATTTCAAACTCAAATCAAATTGTGTGTATCTGTATGTGTGTATGCATGTACTTGTATATACATTAAATAGCACAAGCACATGTAAGTCACTCATGCGCAATAGACACATAAGCATACAAATGACATATATGCATACAAAGTCACACGCAGATAGTGTGCCATGGACAGAGAATTAGTTCTTTTATAATACAGATTTTCTTTCTTAGATTTGACCATTAATTCTGAGTTTCTTTAGTACTTAAATGGATAACCGCTTAGGAAAAATAGGTAGTACAATAAGTGGCCTGCTGAAGTTCGTGAGCCTTTCTAAATAAAGCTTAATAAGCTCCAATATCAATTAATTTAATCACCTGCATATATATGTAATGGAGAAACATGCAGCCTAATGATGAAAAACAAATTATTTTGCACAACAAATATTTCTCAATGTTTAACTTTGATTCCTGCAAAAGAAAACAGTGTGTCGAAAGGACGGTTTTTTCCTTGACACCACTATTATTTTAACTACATTCACTCCTCAACAATGTTTATTGTTTTAAAAAGTGAGGATTAGAATTTTAATAAAACCTAAACATGTGAAAATAAATTTATACATTTTCTTTGTTCTTGAAAATTTACAGCAAAAATATTAAACACTATTTACTTATTAGATTTTTTATTTACACTATGTGTTATATTGCTTATTAGAATGGTTGGCAAAACATCGGCTAATTGTCAATCGATTTGAATTTTATAAAATGGAAAATGATTTACTTATAGCTAGTTCACATATTTTTATAATTGAGTAAATGTTTGTAAATTTATGAATAAAAAATTGTTTTCATATTTATTTCTTTATAAATTGGTAAATAGTAAATATTGCATTAGCTTTAATACAATGGTATTAGTTTTTAGAATTTTGTAAATATAAATTTATTCTTGTAAATAAAGAATCTAATGAATAATGTTTAATATTTTTGTTGTCAATTCTCAAGAAAATGTATAAATTCACTTTTGTATGTTTAGGTTTTATTACAATTCTAATCATCGCTTTTTGAAACAATAAACATTGCTGAGGAGTGAAGGTAGTTAAAACAATAGCAGTGTCAAAGGAAAAACCATCTTTTTGACACACCATTTTTCGTGCACTTGTATTTACATATTTACTTACACATCACTATATGAAGACAAGTGTAGTTCTTTACTAAGTGTAGCTTAGTTTTGGCACGCCATGAGGAATGATCTGTGAGACTAGCTTGTTAACTGTTACACTATGAGTGCCTCTTGAATGCAAATATCGATATACAGTTACAAACCTTATACATGCATGAATACATGAATAGCATTAAAGAAAGGAAAAACAGCAAGCTGAGCTCAAATTGCATCCACTTTTGCATTAATGCTCTTGGAAAAGGCATGAATCTATTTCCTCTCCCTCCAGCTATAGGTTAAACAGCAGGGTAAGCTGCACTATCTAATCTTGGCTGGTAGTTAGTCTAGGACGACAACTCTGAATGCAAAATTAACATGAAGGCAACAGAAGCATCTTTGCAATTCACAGAAAATAAAGAAACCTGATTATATACATACTGAGTAGACATGGCATTACAAAACACACACACGATACTTATATTTTTGAAAGAACATTAAAATTTTGTATTTTATATTGAAAAATAATCTACAAGCTAAACAATAACTTACAGGACAATATCACCTCATATGAGCATGAATAATAAATATTATACAAAATCAGTCAAGAATGAAATCCTGTTTAACATGACATTACATACACAAAAAAAAAAGAAGAAATTTATAACAACATTTCACAAACTATAAACATACTGACCTCACTGTTGATTGTTTGTTGAAAAATATTCATAGCAAATTCCAGTTTTAAACAACACAGCATTTTCTTTTTCTTTTTTTACCTGTGAACTCTTTATTCTGTCTCTTGACATAACTTTTAAGAGGCAGCAAATTATATCAGTTGTTTGTTTTTCTTTAGTGGCATATCAACCCCTATATGTTATTTACATATTTTCTAAATATTTTGTATGCAATTTTATGCCTTCAACTACAGATATTTTGTACATAATTTTATACTTTCAGTGTAAACGTTTTGTGATGTCAACGACCACTCGTTGCTATTTTTGGGATGTCAATGAATACCTGTTGTCACTTTTGTAATGCTTGTTGTAGTAGAGAAACGTTGAGATACAGTCTTGAAGTCTGTCGAACTCTCTGCTTTGCCAGAGAGGAACCCGGACAAAGCTTTGCTGAAGGACAAGGTTTCTTCCGGGGAGTTAGACAGACCCTGAACCCGTCTAGGCGGGTTCAGAGGGTATATTTTTGGCCAAACCTACGGGCTCGGAGAAACCCACTTTAAACTCGGCCTTGTACCACATATATTCCTCGTGGGTGGGATATTAAATA